GCGAGTAGAATTCCCCATAACTGTGAGAAGTGGGATGGTTCAACAAAACCCTGCTCTTTCATACAGTTAAACAGAGAATCCCGTGTCTTACAATTTGCTCCAATCATTTGATAATCAGGCCCATGACTAATTGCGTGTTCAGACATTTCTTCCTCTAGAAAAATAAAAAAGTTCATGTGTTTCACGTTAATTGTGCACAATTTGTGTGTGTTTATGTGAGGAGCCCTCAATGTGCTTACATTGTCATGTGTCGTGCAACCTTCTTTCTGCGTGTGAAGAGCATTGATCATGTCTATGTACACTATGCATGCACACAGTGAAACGGTATAATTCATGGGTATAGTCCATGGTTGTGTGATGGATTAAAATAGAATAGATCTGGTCAGTAGCATAGTGATGGGGGGGATGTGGAAGTGCAGCAACCCCAATAATTAATTCCTGTTGGCAAGTAGAGCTTCGGTTGGGAAATGAATCCAAAAGTGGTAATGAGATAGTTGGAATTTCCCCTGAAGCATGAAATGTAGCATGCCACAGATTTCCATTCTACACTACACAAGTTTGACGAGCAAGTTCTAAATCTGCAAACTGACTCTGTCACACCCCCCCCCAGAAAATGCCTTTGCTATGCCCCTGTATGAGGTAGGTGTGAAGCAATTGTGAGGATATGCATGGGTGTCAATCGGTGGGGGATGGGGGAAAGACATGTCCCCTCTCCATTTTTTTCCAAATTCTAAATGAAAACGTATACCTTGCGAAAGGATTTGTTTAAAAAACTGGCTAAAGTAGCCAGAAATCATCTCAGATCACACCACAGAGCGTCTATACTCCGAAATTTTTGGGAGCAAAGTGTAGCCTTGAGCAGGCCCCGGACCCTACATCACTCAGGGTTTTGCACTTAGCACTCGCATTTGTTCAGATCAGGGCTATGTGTCCCCCTTCCCCACTGTCCAAAATGGATTGATGCCCTTGAGGATATGTTTATTATTTGACTCCAGTATTGCAACATTATGACAATACAAAACTGTGTTCCATATAACAATGAAATGGATCAACAAAGACAAGCAGCAAACTGCTATCTGCTAAGAGATCCGAAAGCATCATGGAAAGACAGCCTGTGGTTAGATCAGAAATGACAAAGTTAAAAGATGATGAGGAAACTTGATTCCAAATATGCAGCAAATCAACATGCATACACCAAGTGACATGGCTTATAGGGAGACAGCCTTTGATATATTTTATAGTAAGTCAACATTGTACAACAAAAGAAGAACAATTTAAATATGCATGTCCTTCAGGGTGACCAAAGTTCCATCATCTAGAGATGTGAATGCCAGCTGATAATACATATTCATGAGAATAGCGAGAGTTCACAAAAGTTTTAATTTCCTGTCTTGAAAAATGATTCCCTGGGAGAAATTCGGTATGTGGGAGAAAGAAACCACTTGTCCTCTGCTGCCTCTTGCAAAACAGAAAAACCTTGTTTTGCTGTTTTATGGGCTTCGAGCTGGACCAAGAAAGGGAGCTATTTCCTTAGCAACGGAGGCTCCTCCGGTTCAAATCACGCATCACCGGTAAACAAAACAAAATAAACACGCCTGACAAACGCAGCTCTTTTTAACTGATGAGAGGGTGCTTCTGCTCGAGGCGGATAACAAGGCAGGGAAGTGATGAAGAATGCTTGATTTCAGAAAACAAATTCTGGCAGACAGGCATTTCTACACCACTTCAAATTCTCTTATAATGAAAACTATCAAAGATGCCACACAAAAACTGCAAAAGGAGTTGGAATGGAAGAGCAGATATTCATTCAAACCACTTTTATGAATGCATTGTTATTTTTCAAGCAATAATATATTTTGTGCCCTCTTTGCAGAATTTAAGGCTCATACTCTATGAATTTGGTTCTATGGTTCTATTTAATAGATAAGTAATTTGCATCGCTACCTGCTG